GGTTTTTTTTTTTTTTTTTTTTTTTTTTTTTTTTTGTCTTTTTCCGTGTCCGGCAACGGATCGCAACCCTCAGTGTCGCCCCCGCACCTCGCTCAGCCAGTGAGCGGCCGGTCTGTATGTGGGATCCGAACCCTCAGGTGGGAGCACTGCCGTGCTTCCCAAGCAGCGCACTATCCAGTGCGCCACCGGGCCAGCCCACTTGCATAATTGTTCTGGCAAATTGGGGAAAGAATAGTATCTTCAACAAATGGTGCTAGGGTTAGAGCACAGCCTTATAACACCAAGGTCATGAGTCCAGATCTCTGTACCAGCCAGCTACCCAAAACAAAACAAAGCAAAACAAATGGTGCTAGGATAACAGAATATCTACATGGAAAAAAATTAAATTTGTACATTTTTACAAAAATTTTATATACAAAAATTAACTCAAAGTAGATTAAGGACTTAGATATAAGAGCTAAAACCATAAAACATAAAAGATGAAAATATAGAGGTAAATCTCCATAACCTTGAATTTGCCTATGTTTCTTAGATATAACACCAAAAGTTGAACAGTGAAAGAAAATGTAGATAAACTGGACTTCATCAAAATTTTTTAAATTTGTGCATAAAATAGAATTATCAATAAAGTGAAAGAACAGTTTTCAGAATGGGAAAAATATTTGCAAATAATATATCTGATAAGGTCTAGTATCCAAAATATATAAAGAACTCTTACAACTCAACAGCAAAAGGGCAAAGAACTCAATTAAAAATGGGTTAAAGACATGAATAGACACGTCTCCAAAGAAGATATACAAACAGCCAACTAACACATGAAAAGATTCTCAACATCGTTAGTCATTAAGAAATGTGCATCAAAACCACAATGTGGTGCCAGTTTACATTCACATTGCTGGTGGGTGTATGAAATGGAGCAGCCACTGCAGAAAACTTGTGGTTCTTCAAAAAGATGAGCATTGAATTATTGTTTGATTTAGTGATTCACTCCTGGGTTTATGCCCAACATAACTGAAAACTAGTGTTCAATCAAATATATATATATATATATATATATACTTTTTACTCACAACTGTTCGCCAATTTGAAATATATATACATGAAACAACATGTATCTATCAATGGATGAATGAATAAACAAAATGTGGTCCATACAAATAATTAAATATTATTAGTTTATCAAAAGGAATGAAGTATTGATGCATGCTACAACTTGGATGTACCTCAAACCATTATGCCAAGAGAAAGAAACCAGACACAATAGGTCACATATTGTATGGTTCCATTTATATGAAATATCCAGAAGAGATAAATCCACAGAGGCAGAAAGCAGACGGGTAGCTTCTAGTGGCTAGAGGAGTGAAGAATGGGTATTGACTGTTTAATGGGTACTGAGCTTTCTTTTGGGACAATGAAAATGTTTTGGAACTTGATAAAGGTGGTGATTCCACAACATTGTGAGTGTACTAAATGTCAACTGAATTTTACTTATTTATTTATTTATTTTAAAAAGATGACCGGTAAGGGGATCTTAACCCTTGACTTGGTATTGTCAGCACCACGCTCAGCCAGTGAGCTAACCGACCATCCCCATATAGGATCCAAACACATGGCCTTGGTTTTATCAGCACCACACTCTCCCAAGTGAGCCACAGGCTGGTCCTTGAATTGTACTTTAAAGTGTCTAATTTTATGTTATGTGAATTTCACCATAATTCTTTTTTTTTTAAAAGATGACCAGTAAGGGGATCTTAACCGTTGACTTGGTGTTGTCAGCACCACGCTCACCCAGTGAGCTAACCAGCCATCCCTACATGGGATCTGAACCTGTGGCCTTGGTGTTATCAGCACCACACTCTCCTGAGTGAGCCACAGGCCGGCCCCATAATTCTTTTTTAAAAGTGCAAAGCAGGGCCGGCCCGTGGCTCACTCGGGAGAGTGCGGTGCTGATAACACCAAGGCCCCTGGTTCAGATCCCATGTAGGGATGTCCGGTTCGCTCACTGGCTGAGCGTGGTGCTGACAACACCAAGTCAAGGGTTAAGATCCCCTTACCGGTCATCTTTAAAAATAAATAAATAAATAAAAAGTAAAAGTGCAAAGCATATCTCTGAATTAGACAACATGTATAAAATAAGGCTGGAATTTGGTAGTGCCCTCTTTGGAAGGATATTCTTTAATTGCCCTGATAATGGATATCGGGCATTCCTAATAATTTCTAAGCCCTGGCTATGTTTATTTTGTTTGTTTGGGTCAATGGCAGCTTTAAAAGTCTCTTTCTTTATTTTTCTTTTTTTGTCTTTCCAATTTAGTGCTTACTACGTGCTGAAGCAGTACAAGGATACTTCAAAAAGTTCGTGGAAAAATAGAATTAAAAGGTAATACAAATTTTTCTCTGAACTTTTTGAAGTTCTCTTTTATATTAGGCCTTATGGATTCAACATGAGTATACTTGTAGTATTCTTTTTTTTTTTTTTTCCTTTTTGTCTTTTTTTCATGACTGGTAATGGGATCGCAACCCTCAGTGTCGCACCCGTACCGTGCTCAACCAGTGAGCGGACCGGTCTCTATATGGGATCCAAACCCTTGGCGGGAGCGCTGCTGCACTCCCAAGCGCCGCACTCTACCAAGTGCGCCACCAGCCCGGCCCATACTTGTAGTATTCTCATGGTATGTATTTTTTTTTTAAACCAACAATTCTGTTTGATGTTTGAAGTGTACTTAAATAGCATCCCTTTTCAGTTTTCTAAGTTGGGGTTGAGGATAGATATCAGACATTGTTCACTTTCCTGTCTTCCATTATGAAGACTGGTTCCAGTTTGCATTATTTTTCTCTCTATTACTAAGAGCAGAAACTCAGCTGCCTAAAAGCCCCAAGATCACAGCAATGTCTATACAAAGTGGGCTTTCAGTACTGTTTTATTTATTTATGTTTTGAAATATGTATTTTAGGTCTTTTTAATCTGTAGGTTCCATATCCATCTCTTCCCTGTCACCCCTTTGCCAAGAGAAGCTACTGTAAAGGATTCACAGAGCCTGGTTTTCCAAAGCCTCGCAGTTTCAAATATTGACTTGGCAAAAGACAGGAAATTTTCCTCAGGCTATTGAGTCTCTGTTGCAAGACAAGAATTGTAACACAGCAAGGCTGCTTGTTCAAAGACAGACAAGTTACTAACTGATATGTAAAGTTACTGAAAAGCTGCTGGAGGGAAAAGGAATGTTTGCTAAATCAAGCCTTTGTTAGTAGATCACTTAATTGCCTAACAGAATGTCATCTGACTTGTTTTTATTGAATGTTACCAGCTTCTATTGTAAAACTTGTTAAACTGTACTTAGCAAAATCCCACCTATGTCTCTTCCTGTAACTTCTTGGTCTGGAGAATAAATGCAGGAAGATAACCCCAATTCGTGGTTAGTTTCCCAAATGGAAGGATGCCTCATGCTCAAGGGTCCTGGGATATTATCCCCTTTCTGGGGCTTCTCACTGCTCAAAAGAGATGGGCTTTGAGTAATCTTTGGTGGCTCTGTCACCCGGGGGAAAAAGAGTGACAAATCCATGGGAGGCAAAGCAACAAGCTACATAATACAGTGACAGCATAGCATTAGACCAAGTGCAGCCCTTCCCCATGTGAAGTCCTGCTCCACTCCCCAGTGCACAACCAGGAAGCCAGCCCTGTTGTTCACAATTTATTTGTTGCAGAAACTGGGTAATTTGTCTACAGAATTTTACTCAGTTTTGATTTTGATGATTGCATTCTCTTTTACATTTTCCTCTATCTTTTGAATTCCCTGCAAATTAGTTACTGTGTCTAGCTGTTTAATCATATGCAAATGTGATTTTGGGGGGCAGATTACTGACATAGATTGAATGGCCTCCAAAGTCATTGAAGCTTAATCCTTGTAACTGTTGAGGGCGGGAAATCCTATTATGGGAAATGAAAGGTGGAGCCTTGAAGAGGTGATTAGATTCTGAGGACCAGGCCCTAATGAATGGATTAACAATGGTGGTCAGCAGCATGTTACTGAGGACTTTAAAAGGATAGCATGTGTGAGCCTCTCTCTCTCTGCTCTGCCATTTTCTGCCATGTGAGACTCCTGCATTGTTGTAAAGCCACCACCAAAGATGAGCCTCCCCAGATCTGTTCCCTGGACTTTGGACTTCTCAGCCTCCCAAACTGTAAGCAATAAATTTCATTTTCTTATAAATTACCCACTTCCACGTATTTTGTTATAAGCAATAGTAATGAACCAATACAGAAAATTCCTACCAGGAGTGGGGCGTTGCTTATAACAAATACTTGAAAATGTGGAAGTGGCTTTGGACCTGGGTGTTGAGAAGAGGCTGGAAAAATTTGGAGGTACAGGCTAGAAAAAGCTTAGCTACTGGTGGGAGTTTAGATGACAAGAAAACCAGGGAAAGTTTGAAACTTCTTAGGGACTGGTTAAATGGTGGTGAGCAGAATGTTGATAGAAATATGGACAGTAAAAGCCATTCTGAGAAGATCTCAGATATAAATGAGAAGGGACTTAATGGAAACTGGGGCAAAGGTCACCCTTGCTATGAACTGGCAAGGAATATAGCTGCATTTTCTTCATGCCTAAAAGTAACATGGAGTGTGGAACTTAAAGGTGCTGACCCAAGGTATTTGGCAGAAGAAATTCCTAAGCAGCAAAACATTCAGGAAGCTGTGTGGCTACTTGTAACAGCCTACGCTGAGTTATGGTGAAAAAAACATGACATAAAGCCAGAATTTGAAAGGGTAGCAGAGCATAAAGATTTAGAAAATTTGCAGCCTGACCATTTGGTAGAGAAGCAGAGAGCATTTTCAGGAGACAAGTGCAATGGTTCAGCCCAAGGACCATTTGCTAAGGAAATTAGTACAAAAGCAAGGGGTTATCAAGAGAAGGGAAAAAAGGCCCTGAGGGCATTGCAGAAATCTCTGTGGCCAACCCTTCCATCACAGGCCCAGAGGTCTAGGGAGAAGAATGGTCTCAGGGAACAGGTATGAGGTGCCCTCTGTGGGCACTCAGGAAATTGCTTCCTGTACCAGCCCCCCAGCTGCTTTAGCTGTTCTAGCTGTGGCTAAATTGGCTGCCAGTGTGGCTGGACCTGAAACTATGAAAGATACGAGGTAGAAGCCCTGGCAGTGTCCACATGTTGTTAAGTTTGCAAGCTCACAGAATGCCAGAGCTGAGGAGGCTTGGGAGCCTCCACCCCAATTTCAAGGAATGTATGGAAAAGCCTGTCACAGGGGTGGAGTCACTGTAGAAAGCTTTCACTGGAGTAATGCCAAGCAGAAATGTGGGCTCAGAGTTGCAGCAGAGAAATCCCATCAGTGCCGTGTCTACTGGAGCCTTGACAGCAGGATTGCCATGGAGACCTCAGATTTGTGGAGACCCCAGATTTGTGGAGCTACAGCCTGCAAGAGCTAAAACATGGCCTCAGACTAGGAAAGCCATAGAAGCAGAGCTGCCTGAGGACTTGGGGACCCAGTTCCCACACCCGTGTGCAGAGGGCGTTAAACATGGCGTCAAGGTACATGATTTGTCAACTTCGAGATTTAATACCTGGGTTTTGGACTTGCTTAGCACCTATTACCCCTTTCTTTTGGCCTATTTTCTTGTCTCACTATTGTATCTTGGCAGTAGATAACTTGTTTAGATTTCACAGATGGGACTTTGAACTCTAGACTTTTGAGTGGAAACAAGACTTTGGGGACAAAATGAATGTATGTGAAAAGGACATGGATTTGGGGGGACCAGGGATAGAATGCAGTGGATTGAATGTCCCTCCAAAGTCACTGAAGCTTAATCCTCATAACTGTTGAGGGTGGGAAATCCTATTATGGTAATTGAAAGGTGGAGCCTTGAAGAGGTGATTAGATTCTGAGGACAAGACCCTAATGAATAAATTAATAATGGTGGTCAGGGGCGTGGTTCTCAGGGCTTTAAAAGGATAGCACGTGAGAGCCTCTCTCTCTCTACTCTGCCATTTTCTGCCATGTGAGACTCCTGCGTTGTTGTAAAGCCACCACCAAAGAAGACCCTCACCAGATGTGTTCCCTGGACTTTGGACTTCCAAGCCTCCCAAACTGTAAGCAATATGTTTTGTTTTCTTATAAATTACCCACTTCCCTGTGTTTTGTTATAAGCAACAGAAAAGGACTAATACAATTACTTAATAGGTGGTGGCATGTTTTTTAGAAAGTGGCACATAATGTCAGATTGGCTCTCTTTTTGCCTTTTTAGTAGCCATTGATGCTCAATGCTTAGATTATTTATTCATCAGAGGTTGCAAAATGGCAATATTCAAATTATATCATCACTTTCTTCATTTATTTGTTGGAATATTTCTATAACAAGAAACTACTAATTTTTCTATTTAATTACTCAGTGGTGCAGTTTTTAGGAAAAGCAGGATAAACAACTCTTTCCCTTTATTTAAGTTTTTTTCTTTTCTTTTCAACCATACTCTTTTAACTTTGATATTTAAGTTTTTGAAGTGAAGAGTTGGTCCCTTGGATACACCAAATGTGACCAATTCTTTTTTACAGGAAATATCCTTATGAGCATATGATTTTAAACACACCTGATGTGTTTTAGTTTTTCGCAATTATTTTCTTTATTTCATGCTCAAATTGCCTTATCTTTGTTAAGTGGGAGCCTCTTCAATTGGCCTTCAAGTACTTTTAACACAACCCCAAAAGTGTTCGATGTGTCCTCACTATCTGGAGTGCTAAGACATTCCATGCTCATGTCGTACATGTCATGCCTTTTCTTCCTGAGACCTGAGATCAGTCACCTCGTTCTCTCTCTTCAATAGACAGAGCTAAGAAATCTGTATCTATATCTATACTCCCTCCCCACAAAGATGAAATACCTCATGAATTTATCCTACTATCAATTCAAATTCAGGACCACAAGTGTTTACTTAACCTGTTCTATCTTAGATCCATGTCTTCTTTTTCCCACAGTGAAAATATTTTTCCCACAGTGAAAATATTTTTCCCACAGTGAAAATATTATGATTAGAATATTATGATTAGAATATAAAATAACATGATTGGAATATAATACAATTACTCATATGCCACATCCGATATTACACATAAAACATACTCAGAATAAGAATAACACTGAAAACACCATCGATTAGAATATAAAATAACATGATTGGAATATAATACAATTACTCACATGCCACATCCGATATTACACATAAAACATACTCAGAATAAGAATAACACTGAAAACACCATTATTATGAAAGTAATTTTTTACAAAAGGGGTTTGCCTATGTTCTCCTTTAACCATCATTTTAATAGTTGTTTTGTATCTACTTTGTTATGGCATACAATCATTAAGTACTGTGACTTGTATCCCAGATATATTCCTTGTATAGAAAATATATTCTCGGTTCTACATGTAAATATATAGTCAATGCTCACCATCTGTCTTTCTGTCAATGACACTCCAGTCATTATTGTCCAAAGGTAATTTTCTCGTGGATTTGGAAGTAAGGACTCACAGTAACAACATTCTTGGAATTTCTGCATGTAGTTGACAGTTTCTCTATATCCTTTAGAATTGAAAATTAAGTTGACTGGATATAAGATCCTTGGCTCACATTTTTTCCTTGATTATCTCAAACATATTTATTTTCTTCAGGTACAAACTATCGCTGTCAAGAACATCTGGTGACAATCTAATTTTCTTTTATCACTCGTACCTGTGGATCCTCACAATTTATGTTGTTTTGTCAATTCTTTTATCATTTCAAGTGTCTTTTAACTAGTTTTGAAATATTAGGCTATCCTTTCCTTCTGTTTTGTAAACATGTCTGTCTGGTGTCCTTATATTTTCTATAGAGAACTTGTAGTGGATTGAATATATCCCCTAAAACTCACTGAAGCTTGAATTGTGTCCTCAAAGTTTTATGTATTAGAAATTTGGCCCCCACTGTGACTGTTAAGAGGATGGGAGATCCCATTATGGTAATTGAAAGATGGAGCCTTGAAGAGGTGATTAGATTGTAGGACCGTGCAGTAGTGAATGGATTAAAAATGGTGGTCAGGGGCGTGGTCCTGAGGGCTTTAAAAGAAGAGGAGACTGTGTCTCTCTGTCTGCTTCCACCATCTTGCAATGTGAGACACTTGGGTCACTGTCACCACCACCAGATGTGTCCCATGGACTTTGGACTTCCCAGCCTCAGAAACTGTAAGCAATAAATTTTGTTTTCTCATAAGTCACCCAGTTCTGTGTATTTTGTTATAAGCAACAGATAAAGACTAATACAGAACTTGTCTGGTTTCTAATTCTCTCTCTCTCTCTCTCTTTTTATTATTTGTGTGAGATTTAACTTGGATCCTCTTCTGTTATTTATTTTTAGTTTAAGTTAGTTCCCCAAACTGTAAGAAGGGAGGTGTGATTTAAGACTGTCTTTCTAATTTTACAGCTCTATAGTGCCATCTTCTGTTGTTTTTATGAGGAGTTAAACTGTATGGCAGATACTTTGTGAGGTCTCCTTTGTCCCCCCTGTTTTTATCTTGACGCTCTTTTTCCTTTGTGTCCTTTGTTTGAGAACTGCGTAAATCTTCAACACTCATGGTAAGAGAGATTTAGCTGGTTAGTTTTGAGAGTTTATGCAGAAGTCTATCCCAGCCTCCTCTTATCTTATTAAGGATGCCTTGTGCAAACACCTGGTATTTCAAATATTATTCTCAAATTAGCCTGCTGAGCTTGCCAATGAGTGTCTATTGGTTATTTTGGAATTTTTAGATGTCTCATGCTCTGTTTCTTTCCTCTGCTTCTTCCTGCACAGATTCTGATACCATTTATCTCCTGTAGTTTTTGGTGGTTTGGTGCTACCTGCTCGTGTTTTGTAGTGTGTGGGATTGCTGTAACATGTAGTTTTGTTGTAGGGACAATTCAAAGGTTTTTGTTTTTTTCATCCTAGTTCTGTGTGGGTTTTGAACCAATAAAGATACAGTTTTTGTTTTTGTGTTTTGTATTCAGAACTTGAGCAGTCATTATCATTAAGTTCTTGGCATGAAATACACTTGTCATCTTCTCATGGGATGCCAACAGCTCACAGGGTATCAGTATTTTTCAACTTTGGTAGGATTGTTTTGATCCAACTGGATTAGAAATATACACAGGACTACACACCAAACCGTCAAAACTCATAAAAGGGCATGGTAATTAGCTGTAAAATTAGAGTTATCTATTTCCTTTGATTTAGATATCTCTGCTTCTGAGATTCTATGCTATAGAAATAGAGACATCAGTATGAAGAAACATATATACAAAGATATTAAGGCAACATCATTTGTAGTGCTTTTGTAAAAAAAAGTTGTGAAAAAAACCTATATGGCCATAATTGGGGAATGGGTAGATTACTTGTAGAACATCTATCTCTAGATTGATTATATAGTTATTAAAATTAATTAATAATTCCTGGAGGAATATCCATAATCTATTTTGTTTAGGAAATTTTCTAAAACTTAGAAAAAAAGTAAAAAAGATTATTATATAATCTTAATATTCTGCTACAGCATTTTCTTTTTTTTTTTTTTTTTTTCGTGTCTGGCAACGGATCGCAACCCTCAGTGTTGCGCCCGTACCGGACCGGGACCGGCAACGGGACTGCAACCCTCCGTGTTGCGCCCACACCTCGTTCAGCCAGTGAGCGGGAACCGGTCTGTATGTGGGATCCGAACCCTCGGTGGGAGCGCCGCCCTGTAGCAGTGCACCACCGGGCCTGCCCTGCTACAGCATTTTCTAACAAATTAACCTGAGGCTCTTGGGACTATAAGTTGGTTCGACTTACTGTTCATAAGTGATTACGACCCAGGTATTTTACAACTCTGTAAAGTTAGAGATTAACTTGTAGAAAACAAGTAAGGTGTGCATTATGGGCTGAATTGTGTCCCCCCTCCAAGTTCATATGTTGAAGCTGTGACACCCACTGTGACTATATGGAGATAGGGCCTATAAACGGAGGTAATAAAAGTTAAGTGAGGTTGTAAATGCGGGGTCCTAATCTGATAGGACTGGTGTCATAAGAAGAGAAAGAGACATGAGAGAGCTATCTCTCTCTTTTCACTGCACACAGAAGAGGCCATCTTAGGACACAGGAAGAGCATGATCTGTAAGCCGGGAACGGTGGCTTCAACAGGCACCAACCTTGATGGCACCTTGATCTTGGACTTCCAGCCTCCAGAACTATGAGAAAATAAATTTCTATTGTTAAAGCCACCCAGTGTATGGTATTCTATTACGATAGACTGAGCTGATTAATACATTTTTTTCTGATCATTTTTTCCTTTTTAGTAATGACTTTCACCCCAAAGATTATGATTTTATTTCCTAGTAAGACTGTGACCAATTTTGTGTTTAAAATAGCAGTCATATTATTGCATTCTTTTTATCATTGTTTATGTAAATCCAGGTTTCTCATATCTTAACTGAATCACCATTGTTATTCTACTGGGTTTTTTCTTCATTAATGATTCAAATAAAAATTTGACATGCACTCAGTAATATTTGTGTGAGAGTTGGGTTTTGACCAATTTGAAAAATAGAGACAAATTTTAAAATTATAGTAAAGTATATTTAACATAAAAATTTTCATTTAAGCCATTTTTAAGTGTATTAATTACATTCACATTGTTGTATAACCATCATCATTTTAAAATATTTTGCCATTCCAAACAAAAATTCTAAAACCATTAAGAAATTTTTTTTCCATTTTTTTCCCCTCCCACAGCCTCTATTTTAATTTCTGTCTCTGAATTCACCTAGTCTAGGAAGCTCATATAATTGAACTCATAAAAAAGTGGACTCACTAAAAAAAAAAGGATGCTGCACAGTAACTTGAAGACAGATAAAAATATAAAGTTCTTTGGTACAGTGAAATATATGAACAAACATAAAAACCTGTATTATTGTAATTTGGGTTCAGAACTTCACTTTAAATTCTTTTATAGCATTTAAAGAACAAAAGCATAAAGAATAATTATGTCAACAGAAATGGATACAAAATACATAAAGATAATATCTGAAAAAAACATAATATTTGAGTTTAATAGTATGAAGTGGAGGGTGGTGGAGCTGTAATGGAGTAGAGTTTTTGTATGTGATTTAATTCAACTTGTTTCAGTTTAAAATAGATTGCTGAATCAAAACCACAATACCACCTCAAACCCATTAGGATGGCTATTTTTTATATATATATATCTGAGGGTACTTCACAAAGTTCATGGAAAGATTGGTATTATCTTTTAGTTCTATTTTTCCACAAAGATTTTATATATATATAAAGAACATATATACAAAACATATAATATATATAAAACAGAAAATAAGTGTTGGTGTGGATATGGAGAAATTGGAATTCTTGTGCATTGATGGTAGGAATGTAAAATGGCACAGTAGCTTTGGCTGTTCCTCAAAAAATTAAAAATTGAATTACCATATGATTCAGAAATTCCACTTCTAGGTACATACCCAAGAGAATTTAAAGCAGGGACAGAAAGGAGATATTTTTACACTTATGTTCACTGTAGCGTTATTATTCACAATAGCTAAAATGTGGAATTAACCCAATTGTCTATTGATGGATAAATCAATAAGCAAAATGTGGTATACAGGGCTGACTCATGGCTCACTTGGGAGAGCATGGTGCTGACAACACCAAGTCAAGGGTTACGCTTTCCTTACTGGTCATCTTTAAAGAAAAAAAAGTGGTATATACATACAATGGACAATTATTCAGCCTTAAAAAAAAATTCTGATCCATGCTACGACATGGATGAATCTTGAAGACAATATACTAAGTGAAATAAGCCAATCACAAAAGGACAAATATTGTATAACTCCACTCTTATATGGTACATAGAGAAGTCGTATGTATACAGACAGAAAACATGAAGAATGGTGATAGGGGTTGCCAGGAATTCAGGGTAGGAGTAAGTAGGGAAAAATCAACTAAACACAAAGGAAAGAAGAGTGGGAGTAAGTGAGAGACAAAAAAGATATAAGACACACAGAAAACAATTAAGAAAACGGCAATAATAAGTCCTTCCCTATCAATAATTACTTTAAATGTAAATGTATCAAAGTCTGCAATCAAAAGAGACAGGCTAGCAGAATGGATAAAAATACAGGATACAAATATATGCTGACTACAGGAGATTCACTTTCAATCTAAGAACATGATGAAAGTAAAAAGATGGAAAAAGATATTCCATGCAAATAATAATCAAAACAGAGCAGGGGCAGCTATACTATTATCAGATGAAATAGAGTTTAAGTCAAAAACTGTTAACAAGAGACAAAGAAGGACATCATATATGAATACATAAAATATAATTATATATATGTAAATGCATATATATATATATATACACACACACACAGATATAAAATGACCATACACATACACACAAACACACACACACATATGTGTGTGTATATATATATATACACATTTATACAGCTATGCACTGTAAAACAACATTTTGGTCAGTGATGGACAGGTACAATGTTAGTCTCACAGTATTTAATACAGTAACATGTTGTATGGGTTTGTAGCCTAGGACCAACAGGCTCCATATAGTCTAGGTTTGTGTAGGTGCACTCTGTGATGTTCATGCAATGACAAAATTGCCTAACAAGACATTTCTCATAATGTATCCCCATCTCTAAGTGACTCATGACTCTGTGTGTGTGTATGTGTGTAATGGACCATATAAAATGGTTAATTCACCAACAAAATTATGACAATTATTAATATATATGCACCAATGTCAGAGCTCATAAATATATGAAGTAACATGATAGAACTAAAGGCAGAAATAAGTCTAAATAATAGCAGAAAACTTTAATACTCCACTTTCAATAATGGTTAG